AGCTGCAGCGGCCAGGAGGAGAGAGAGGGATCGCAGAGAGCTAGTGCCAGCTCTGGATGGGACACTACCGCCGCGGTGATCGTTCGCTTCTGTTCTCTCTTCTCCTTCTCGGCCGCTCTGTAGCTGCAGCAGCCGAGAAAGAGAAGAGAGAACAGAAGCGAGCGATCGCCGCGGCGGTAGTGTCCCATCCCTGGTCCCGCCGGCGGCGCACCCCCTCGCTGACATTCCAATCGGTATCCAATCGGTAGTATGAGGTATGGCATTAGTTAGACCTATTTTTAATAGTAACTCTCAAGCATCCAGAAAGGACATTTATCCGGAATCTACCAATCCACGGGGATGCCGGTTGACGGGGAGTTTACTGTTATTGTTTTCAATCATAAAAGCTGGAATCTGTCTGACTCTTTCCCAGGTCCTTATCTTATCAGAATGCGGAGCTGTAAACAGCCAACAATATGAACCATTCTGACCTCTGTAACTGCTGGAAAATTGTTTTGTTTTTTCTTTTTAAAGTGAACCTGTCATTACATTTACGCTTCACATATATCAGTTGGGCTCAGGACGGCATTACCAAATCATATGACTAATAGTCTAGCCATGAATGTATAACAAAGGCCGTTCCCTGGTTCCCTGCCTATATCTCTGACTACAAATTGCTGCAGAAAGTCTTTCCTATTATAAGGTCTCAGATAAGCGGACTGAATATGGCTGACCTCCATGCACCTAGGTCACTGCAATCTATATATAAAACAAGGCTTCTTATCCATTAATGTACATTTATAGCCAAAACTATTTTTAGTTTTGCATAGAGCAGAGAAGGCTTCAAACCCCAGCTTTTTTTTTTTTTTTTTGCTGTTCTTTTGGGGAGATTTCCTATCACTTCCTGTTGCAGAGAAAGAACAGGAAGTGAGAGGAAATCTCTACCAAGTAAGTGGAAATCTCTTCTTTGACAGGTGTCACCACTGGAAGATTTCCCCTCCCCTCTTGTTCTGGTGACAACTGTAAAATGTTCTTTTTTTTCCGGTACCTTCTGTGTTGGTGATACGGGAGGACACAAACTAGCGTCCTCCAATCACCCTAGGCTCACCCTAAGCTCAGTATACCTACTGAGACGCCACAGTATACCGCGAGCTACTGCTCGCGGTATACTGAGACGACTCACTTACCTCTACATCTAAATTCATATAAAAATACTATAATTCCTGTTTAATGTCTATGTAAACCCGAAATATATTTTCCAGTTTTGCCTCGCTGTATACAGTCTTATTAAGCATATGACAGTTTGTAAATCTCTTGCAAAGTTTCCTACCTGGAGATCTTGCCAGTAAGAGCACTCCCTCTTGCAGGTTGACAACACCTGCCTTGCAAGTATCAGCAGCGTTGTCAGACTGCCGTGGCTCAGTGGCGTTACTGGGGGGGAGCAGGGGGTGTGGCCCACACCGGGGTGACACCATTGGAGGGGGTGTCACTAAATGGCTGACAGTAATTTTAGTGTCACCCCCTCTGAAAAGTCGCTCACTCGGTCATGGGCCCAGAGCCCGACAGTTGCACGAGAGAGGAGGGGACCCGGCGGCATAACTTATCCCTCTCTCTCTGCCCTTATTCTGTCGCTTTTGTCCCAAAGATGGCCGCTGGCAAGCAGCAGTGCGCGACGTCACAGTGGGTTGTTACCCGGTGGCGCTCAGAGTGACACCACGCCTCGGTAAGCCCGTGGTGTGGCTGTTGGGCAGCCCATCAACAGAGAAAGCAGGTTAGGCTGACAACGCTGCTGCTAATTGTGAGGCAGTGACTTAGCATTGCCCCCACGTAACAGGAAGTGCTGTTACTGGCGGGATCTCCTGTGAAGAGACAATTTCCACAGAAAATGAAAAGAAGAGATTGCCATTGGCCAGAGGAATCACTTGGCCATGCTGACCAATGAACGCTCACCATTGCCAGCATTATAATGCTACAACCTCAGGGGCTGTGCAGTGATGCTTTGAAGTGTGTGGTGTGTTAAAAAAAAAAGATACAATGATACATGATGAAAAAATTGATTGGGGGGGGGGTTGGTCACAGTTTTGTGTGGGCTTGGGCAGGTTGGGCTCCCCTCATCACTAGTCAACAACAAGGCACCTGAAGTGCATCATGGGATGTACTTGTAATAAATTATAGAGCCCACATTGCCTAAACCAGGGTTAGGTTGATCTCTTTTATATATACACCCAGGGCAATCTCTATAATGAGGCAGCTTAAGGTTGTTGCCTCAGGTGGC